GCATTGCTTCTGTGAGTCCAGCGATCCAATGCAGGTTCGGTACAAAAATTTTGAAAATAAATGTACGAAAATAAACAAAAGGGAGACTGAATGCAGAGCTAATTCAAAACACGGTAAAAACTTGACCTAATTTAGCGGTAAAATAACTGTGTTATTATTTCAATAGCATTCATATGGACACAATCGGTGGGATTTTGCCGTCGCCGCCATGTTCTGTAACAAGTCCGAATTGATAATGAGCTCTGGTCGATCGTAACTTTCACAAGTGGGTAAAAGCACGCAAGTGCTGCTGAAGCAGAGATTTAATGAGTCAGTCCATCTCTAACGTCTGGAAGGCACATAAGATAACATCCTCCACATGTTTGAGTCACCATCAAATGGTCAAACAGAAGGAAAACCACCGGTCTTGAACGAGCATGAGAAAGCGCGAGGGGGGAGAGGGGAATTGCTCAGCAACAGTCAACTTTGATTTTAAGAGTGGTTGCGATCGCTGGCGCGTGTGCTATCTTGGCAAGCATTAGTTCCCTTTCAGCACAAAGGCATTGTGTAAAAATAGCACTTCTCCGTGGAGTCTTTGCCCACACCAGCGTTTTGTAGGAGTTCCGCGATGTCAAATCCAAAGGAGTTGGCTGCCAGCCTTACTTCGTAGAACATTAAAAATTTTTGCAATCACGTTCATTGCATTGCATTCAATGCGCCATCGTAGTTGTTGCCAGAACTAATCGGGTAATCATGAATGCTAAAAGCCTGCAAGCTCTCGACGTGGTGCAAGAATGTGGTCTCGCAGAGCTTCTATCAGTGCCTAATCTGACATCCCCTTAGTGGAGTTGACACGGTCGTTCGCATTTTAAAAAATTAAAGCAAAAATAAAATTAAAGCTGAATCTCATCAGGGGTCACAACAAGCGCGCTCAGTGAAACCATGCACACGCGCGCACGGCGTATGAAGAGTGACTGACAGAGACACAAATATCGTGGAAAGCCATTCCTTAAGGGGGGATGCTACACCTTCCAAAAACTCTTTTATTTTTGCGAGTACCTCAGTCAAATTTGGAGAGCCTATGTAGATTTTACTGCTGATTTCAAAAATCTAATTCTTTTTTTGCTGTGACAATTAGTTTTAAAGATATAATGAACTGCGACTTTTTCAATTAAGGCCTAATTAGCTAATTAACTGTAACTTGGATATTGATGTGCAACCTATAGAACCAATTTGGTATGTTCACAGTGTGCAATAAAGTATAATTCATTGTTCTGGGCTATTTCGAAGCAAAGTTGTGGGATGTTGAATATGACATGAAAAATTTCCCCATCTACACTTGAAACAAAAGATCCATTTAGAGAATTTTCTCCAAAAATTATTACAATAAAACTTACTTTACGACACATCCCCTGCATTTATCTTCGAAACAAAAAAGAAATCGTAATGATAACCCAGATAGAACAAGAGATATTGCTCCGGCATAATGGGAAGCACATGAAAATTGTCGTTTTGAGAAATCGAGAAAAAACGTGGGCACACATTTTTATTGCAGAAGATGCAACAAGACAACCTCAAAACGCACCAGAAGCATAGTCTGAATGCATTCTGTGCTCATGCCTCCTCTTCACTAGCTTCCGGAGTTCCAATGAGGCTGTTCTTTTCTTGTTGGAGACAATGCTGCGACGGTGGTCTTTTTCTCTCGCTCTCCTGGCACCAGTACTTGTCGCATTCATGTCCATTTCACCTAAGATTGCCGTTGCAAAATTCAAATTGCCCGTGTTGAAGCGCAGCACTGCTTCTGCAACAGCTGCTTCAACAGCGAACAGGGACGCATGGTGCTCCTTGGGGGCCAAACTCCAGATTACCGAATGTAGGCTCTCGTTGGAGTTCTGCGTTTTGCCGCGTTCGCACCTCTGAAGCAGGGCTCTTTCCGAAAGCCGGGTATAAAACGGTAGTAATGACTCTGCCACGTCTTTCGGTAGATTGTAGGCATGCCTGGGGTCGGGCTCACCCTTTGCTTTTGCGGCATTGTGCCGACACCATGAAGTTTCACCAGCTGGGCACAGACTGTGGTCCGAGCATTCATCAGTGGAGGTGACGTGGCGGTATGTGGCCATCACAGCCTTTTGCATCTCGCCCACGTCACCTTCATGCGATTTCAGAGCCCGGCCATAATATGTGCTCAGCCTGGTGATCAGCTCACCTGTGAGCCTGCCTTTCCCACCAAGGCCTCTTTTCCCATCGCACTTTTGTTTCTGCACCAGGTTTCTCAATGCGGTGCCCATCCGTTTCTGTACATGATTAATACAGTCTTCCTTCTGCACGTCAATGTAACCATACACCTTGGCGTCTTGTATGGCGCAAAATGTCCTAGAGTCTCCATCAGACAGCATAGTTGTGTAGCGCAGGCCATGGCGTTCAAGCGACCTCTGAAATAGAATTAGAGCCGCCTCCACTTCCATTTGCCCCGCTTTGCTGTTCGTATTTTTTTGGCATTTGTGGTTAGCCTTCCATTCTTGATAGCCCTCACTACTAGGCTTTGGGCCCACCTCGCAGCTTAGGCAAAAGTTGGAAAGAACGACGTAGTCCAACACGTAGCCACTAAATAATTCGATAACTGTGCCCACGCCGATGTGGGAAGAATGGCCTCGCGTCTTCCACGTGCCGTCGTAGCTAACGGCAATATTGCCCCGGTGGCCGAAGCACAAGTCATCATAAATTGTTCTAACCTTTTCCGCACATTCGCTCATAGCGGACTCAGCCGCTCGCGTTGCAGCGGGTGCCAGCGTGTTCTTCAAATGCCGCTGAAACGTCTTGTGGTGCATACCGCGGTGTGAGATGCCCATTGTTGCGAAAATATCGTTCATTTTCGTTTGGCCGTTGCCGGTAGCCACCATCGCCCTCGAAGCGAGAAAATTTACTTCAAACGGATTGCACGTTTTCGTGCCGTGCGCGGGGCGAAGTCCATTCATTCGCGATCTCGCCGCACCTTTCACACTGCACTAGCACTTTCACGGCAAGTCCGTAGTCCCGATCCCCTCTGACGATCGTAGCCGGTCCGTGGCAGGCTTTGCAACACAAGGCACCCATTATCGTGTTTAGGATATCTAGATGCATAAGCAGATAAGGAGCAGCGTGGTCCGAGTCCTGTGCGGTTGCCTCGCTACAACTCGCGGTGAAAAAGTCAATTTTCCGTGCAGTTGCTGGCGCCGATGAAAGCCGGTCAAGCGTCGCTTTCTCCCGGGCATGATTTTCTTCAACTTCGGCGTTTGTCACCACCTTGGCGTCGATTCGTAGTCGTCCGGAGTTCGCTTCACCGTCATCGTCGTCGGAGGCAACGCGCTCGGTCGCACCATCGCTGAACGGCCGCGGAGCGTCGACACATCGTTCGTCGGAGTCAACCAAGGGCTCTGATGACTTCGTAGACTTTCTCCCACGACCTTTGCGTTTCCTGCGACCAAATGCGTGCACAGTCCGATACTTTTTTGCGTTTCCAGGCATGGCGATACGATCAGAAGCTTCAGAGTGCTCTGCCGATTTCGAGGCGTCACAGCGGTAACCCTTTCAAAAATGGCGTCGGGTCGCGTATGCAGGCGCAAGCCGCGAGCTTCCAGCCAACCGGAAAGCGCCATTTCAGTCACGTGCGCCGTTTAGCCAATGGCAGTGAGCGCGGCTCTTCGTCTTTGAGGCCCCGTTTTTCGAGCCGGGGAAACGCTCAATGTTGCTTACTGAATAAAAAAAACAGCTGAAAACGCGTTCTTTCAAACAAGACCAAAATGGCGCCGATCGAGCGCGTAGTTCCCGCGTATCGTAGAGCCGAAACCTGCGCTATTCGCCCTCAATTTAAAGGGCAGGACGCCCGTTTTCGGTTTTTTAAAGTTGAATAACGATAAATGTTGATGGTATTCGGCTATGAAATTTTGTAAATAGGTGCGCAATGATGTCGGGAACGCGAAAAGAAGGTCCGCGAAAACTCGATATTTTGGCTGATTTTCGGTCCCGAAGTGCCGCGTCCCCCCTTAAAGCACCCTCTATCGCACCCTTCGTTAAAGCACCCTCCAGCGCAGTTCTACATAAGTGACACTAACTAAAATCATGGCACTGCCAATGAAAAAGTAGATTTTTTTTTCTTTTTATGGTTTTGGTTTGGAGGGAGAAGGGGCAAAAACGCGCATGTATTTACAGCCGCAAGAACGGCGGCAACACCGCCTTGTGGGGCGCATGCCCGCCTGTCTACTTGGCGCGCACCCGTGCACAATCACGAGCGCTTGCTCTCGCCTGCTGTGCCGTGCGAGCCGCCACCACTTTCTCGGCGGCGGGGCACCCGCGGAAGATTTGGCTCCTCCCAAAATCTGAAGCCAAATTCCTAGGTTGTCCGTGGGAAAAATTTGCTATATTAAGGTTGTCTCCTTCTGTTACTTTGTTACACAGAGGTCACAAATACATGTGCTTCTATGAAGCAACGGTTGAGAATAAATAACTTCTTTATATCGAGAAATTCGTTATGTGGAGGTTTGTTAAAAGCATGGCATAACTGTATATTTTTTGTGTCATGACACACATTAGGTTGAAAGCGCTGCTCGTGTTGCCGTCCTTGTCTTCTTTTGTTTGTGTGTGTTCATTTAACCGCAAACAATAATTTCAGTATCTCACAAACTAGGCCAAGAAAACAAGTTGATCTGATCTCACCTTCATATCTTTTGTGAGATAAAATAAGGCAATGCTATATCAAAAACCTGGAGGTCTACAAAGAGATTGCAATTCCGATTGAGGACGATGCAGCAAGAAATAGGAAGGAAAATGATAGGTATAACCATGAGGGCCAAGAAAAGAGCAGAGAAATGTCATGGAACAAACAGGGGATATCTCAGTTGAAATCAAGGAGAAGAAATGGTCGTGGGCACGGTCAGTTGCATGTAGCGGGATAACCACGGGTCAGAGTAGTGGACTGAATTCTAATATAAGGCAAATGTGCAAGAGGAATGAAAAAAGTTATCCAAGTGTGTAAATAAGCACACCTTGTGCTGTCGGTAGGCCTCGTGCTTGAGCAGTGCCCCATCTGATTCGATCACCAGCATCTTGACCGGGGTGGCTGCCTTGGCAGCCAGGTTGTAGTGGGGACAAGACAGCTGGGCCATGGCCATGGCCCAGTCGTGCGTCAGGTGCGCAAGATGCGCAGATGCTTCGTCCCATTCAACACAAAAGCCCAACTCTCGCTGCAGCAGTTCGCACAACCGGGACACTGCTGTCACGTGGGAATCGCTGTCACGTGAGTACACCACCTTCACCACTGCAAAGTCACCATAGAACACAGTCAACACCACAAAAGAATTCATATTCTAGCACAGCAAATGGCACACAAGAGACATACGAGCCCATACGCACAATTATTTATTGAAAACGTAATCAATGCTGTGAACAGTGTCCAGCAAAAGACATCGTGTCACAGACAAAGTTCATCGAAGTACTGCAAAACCAGCGCCTCCTCTATTTTATTATATCCAACTAGATACGCCCGATCCAGCCGTTCACCGCCCTTTCCTCTAGCCTTTTCCTGCGCTCACCCATTGCCTAGCCTTTAATTGATTGATATGTGGGGTTTAACCTCTCCAGAATACCATATGACTATGAGAGACACCGTAGTGTAAGGCTTCGGAAATTTCGACCACCTAGGGTTCTTTACCGTGCACCCAAGTCTGAGCAGATGGGCCTACAGCCTTTTCGTCTCCATCGAAAATTCAGCTGCTGCAGCCGGGATTTGACCCCAAAACCTGCAGGTCAGCAGCCTAGTACGTTAGCCACTAAACCACCGCAACGGGGCATCGCCTAGCCTTTGCATGTGCTTTGCGGTCATAGGAAAGGGAGCCCCTCATGCAGTGCATCACGATGGGAATAATACGATGTAATTTTTTGTTCAGTTGTGTATAGATCCATGGGGCGGCATCTTGCATTCCTCATGACAATGTTGACAGTCACGCTGGCTCTGTAAAAGATACGGTGTTTTGAGATAGCGTGTCACCATTCGTGGTGCTATGCGAGCAACCAATGGGGACGTGTCACGGCAACGCTGCTGCATAACTAGAGCTGTGAGGTGGCGGTGGCATTGCTTTCAGCCACAAGGAAGGAGCATGGAGAAACAAATCTGACAGATATAGGATATTGGAGTGGGAAACAGGTTGAGTCTTCGTGAGAAAGCGCTCGGACGCGCATGTGATGCAAACAGCCCTGCCCCTCATGTGACGGCTCTCCTTGAGAAGTGCACTGGCATCGAATGCAATAAAGGAAGCAATGGCAAAACACACAAAAAAATCTCACAATAAGTGACACACAATCAGTTGTGAGTCTGCACTCGTCTGCCCTTTTCCATTCCTTCTTTGTGTCTGGTCTGCTCGGAAGTTTGGTGCAAGGCAAACCCTTAACAACCCCCCCTGCTATTAGTGTTTGTGACTGTAAAAGAAACTTGAGCGACCCAAACTGACGCCCATGCTACAACGCTATACAATCCAACCTTGCTTTATAACCTAGCCCAATTGCTGCCAATCTCGGAAGCAACTGGGCTAGGCTACTGAGGACTCGCAGCAGCCTCATCGTAGTTTTTTTACAGAGCACTTGCAATGCTCCGCCTTTGCCAGCAGATCATCTTTGACTCAGTACAGTCCCCAGAGTGGCAGTTTCACCAACTTAGTTGGTTTTTAAAAAAGGGTTTCGAGCGTCAACTTAAAAGCACACGATGCAGCTTTCTTCAACGCACATGATACTATTTGCCGAGTCCACTTCACTCATGTGTTAGTGACACACGCACAGAGATGTGGTTCTGTGCAGTTACTTTGAGTTTGAAGGACCCCTAACACTATATCTGGAAACTCGCAATGCTTTTGTTGTTTGATAGTCCTGCACGCTGCACCACTTCTGACCAAATATCAGTGATTAGTGTTGCCTCTAAAACATTTTAATTTGGTCTTAAAGTAAAAATGCATGCTCGTATTCAGGTCCAATCAACATTTTCTGTGGCATCACAGAGACAGGGGCCCCCTTGTGATGTTGTAGAGGTCAAGCAAGTATTGTCAGCGGGGCATGCACAATACCCCAACTGATCCCCGGCAAGGACTACCGTTCATCACCCCTCCTGCTCTCTGGGTGCTCACGCCAAGAATGCTTTTGTTCCTTTCCAGGAGGAGACACGCTCAAAGCACCCACATCATTTCATTCTACACCACCCGCGGGTACCCCAATTTGAAAACATAGCATGCAGCATCATTGAAGCGTGTCACGTAGTCTCAGGCATTGCTCCGCTATGGGGCACTAGTTTGTTACGTTATTTAGGCAGGTCTTTCGAACTGGAATCCAATGCTTCTAAATTAACAATGCTACCATTCATTACAGAATGCATTAAAACACTAATGATTCAATTATGGCATTACCAGATGAAAACCTACAAATTATTACAGTTAAAAAGTCACAAAAACCTTTCACTGTCCGGAGTCCTTTGATTGCACCTCTGCTTATCTTGCTCTGAAGGCAAAAGATATGCTCATGTTTATCAATGAAAAAAAAACTGTTTAGAAAGTGCCGTATATAGTGAAACGTCATTAATATGGACACCCACTTTAAATGCGCTAATGCTTAAAATTCAGCTGTGATGAACCCCCCGTCAAGTCACATACTAGAAACTAGTGCATTCGCTGTTAAGTCATAGTGGTTCATTCAAGGCCTATCGGTTAGCACATACCCGTACTGCGCTACTAAACTTTGAATGCCATAATGTGGTAGTACAAATGGCTTTCTGCCATTTCAAGAAGTGTGGAGATCGTCCAGTCAATTATTCCAACTTTTATGCGATAGTGACAGTGCTTTGCAATTATCGGGAAAGAAGTAAGGAGAGACTTTGGGAACCGACAAACGCACCGGTATGACTTATCGCCCACAACAAACCTCATCGCAATAAGTATCCTCAACCATCTGCTCATTAGTAAAATTTGTGCGGAATAAAGGCAATCCTAAAAAGCAATGGCACTTGCTGAATGATTTTATGAGCCGTAACTCACAAATATTTATATCTACAATTGAACATGACAGCATTACTTTCAGCCAACCTGCTGAGATTGCTAGCACATTTTCCCATCATTTTGCATTATCTCAAGGCAGTCAGCCGCCAACCTTTCAACTTAAAATACCGTCTGTGTCATTCCTTCCACCTTTTTTCGGTTACGCCAAGTGACGTGTTATCTACTATCTGCAACGCTCGTAACACCAGCCCTGGATTAGATGGTATTCAATACATCACTTAAAACTGGTTGCTGAAATAGCTTGCAAATCCCTGTGTGCAGTACTTATTTAATTTTCAAAACTGGCAAATTTTCACAAGCATTACTAGATCATGCTAAGATAATCCCGGTTTTCAAGAATGGTATTAAAGAGCTGCTATCAAACTACTTTTCCATTTCACTCCTACCCTCCCCAAGTAAAATAATCGAGACGTTATTTGTGTCCAGGCTAACCACTAAGTACCTAGATAAATTCCTCATAATCAAATCTTGCCAATTCGGTTTTCAGACAAGTAGTTCAGCTAATTTAGCCTTACTTTGTCTGACAGATTTTATTAACAAAATTCTTGATGGGAATGAATTCACCGGTTCCGTCTTCCTTGACCTTACTTTAACACTAGGCTTGCGCGAATAGTGAATTTTAGGTTCGAAGCGAATTTGAAGCAAATAATGATTTCGATTAAATAATTTTGAATCGAATTTGAATAGCATGTATGACATATAAAAAAAGGAACATTTATCATGACCTAACTAACCTGCACAATATTTAATTTGAATTGAAATAGGGCCTCTATGCAAATGACACTTTTTTTTGTTCAAAGGAAGTCGAAACAACCTTGAGTAGTAGTTTCGGTAGAATGCGAGTGATAACCTCCAAGATACTTAATGTCTTAAAATTTAATATACCTGGAGCATATAAGCCATCATAACAAGCTTAATAAAATGAAGAATTCATTTGAGGGTAACATGTTCTTTTAAAGGGGCCCTGCAACACTTTTTCAAGTAGCCATGGAGCCAGTAGACATGCTTGTTACCTCGAAAATTTACCCTCACGAAATTTCTAGAATCAGTTCAGTACAAGCGGAGTTCCGAAAATTTGTCGCAAGCTCCAATTACATTTTCTCTTCTTGTCCCGGCGAAATAGCTGGAAGGAAGGAATGGCATGGCGCAAGAAAATATGACACATGCCCCTCGTGACCTTGAGCACTTTTTTTTTTCTTTACTTGAATACGCGAATTTTCAGTGCGATCGTGCGCGTGCTCGTGAATAAGGGGCAGCCCTGGTAACGATGAGCGCCCCTTGCCATTGGCTGTGACCAAAACCATATATTTCTTCTTGGCTGTGACAAGTAATTTTTGAGCTTGTAGGGTCATTTGCCGAGGAAAGAAAGCAATTTTTAGCTTTTAAAATGTATTGTGAATTATAGGCCACGTGCTGCGCTGCAATATTTGCCTCGCGTGATCTCAGTAGCCTCGACTACCCATCTGCAGCATTTTCTGACCATGTTCAGTGTTGCAGGGCTCCTTTAAATTTGAAAGAGGGGTTCGCAGCAAAGCGAATTTCCCCTTCACAGGTGCTTTCACGGCTTACCACTGCTACACTGTAGTGAAACCATCTTTAGAGGCAATAACATGCGAACTAATATGCACCTATTCGTTCATTGCGAATACTTCGAAAATATTCTATAGTTTAAAATCGAATCGAAGCGAATTCAAATACTCAACTATTCGTTCAATTATTCGAAGCATTCGAATGTTCGGACAAGCCTATCTGATACCATTAATCACACAATTTCGTATGGTAAACTAGAAGCCTATTGGATCACACGAACTGCTCTAATGTTTTGAAAGCATTATTGAAATGACCAAAGGTTTGTGGTACACAAACATGAAACATTTTCTCTTCCTAAAATTACTAACCAAGGAGTGCCACAGGGTCCAATTTTAGGGCCTTTGATCTTTTCTTTTTATATTATTGAGTTGCCAGACATCACTGATTTATGTCACTATGTATCGTATGCAGCCAATACAACTATATTAGTACCTGATAATACCGTATTTACTCGCGTAATGAGCCCACTCGCATAATGAACCCACCCCCCACCTTGGTCCTTGAAAGAAAAAAAACTTCTTTGATCTATCTGTTCATTTAATTTCTGCATGATAGCCAGTGCTGTTAACGATCGAAACGATGTTAAATCAAGCATTTATATCACAAAATAACAGCGCAATAAAAGTAAGAACAT